GAGGATCACATGGTAAACAATGGTGACCTTGTAGTTAGTGACACACAGTGAAGACCAGACAGTGAGTACTATGTGGTGAGAGACACAGGGTGAGCACCACACAGTGAGAACTATGTAGGAAGGGACATACTGCATAATGAGGATCATGATAAATGATACACAGGGAGGGCAAAATAGTGGGGATTATATGATAAGTGATACAGAGTGAGGACCATGGAGGCAAGACTATATATTGAGTGGCATACAACTGATGGATGATGAGTGACATATGATGAATAAGGATGTAGTGTGGCTAACATCTCAAGTGAGGACCATAAAACAAAAAGGCACACAGCTAGGATCACACAATGAAGACCATATGGTGAAAGACACATGATTGATTACAACACAATAAGGAAAACAACAAACGATACATGGTGAGGACCACATGATGAGGATCGTGTGATGAGTGGGAGATAAAGGATAAAGAGCATCCAGTGAGAACCATGTAGCAAATGAGCACACAGCAAAGACTACATGGCATGCGACACACAGGATTATCACATAGTGAGGATTGTGTGACAAATGACAGAACTATACAGTAGAGATTATGTGACAAGATGTGACAAGTGATATAGTGAGTATCACATGGTGAGGATTACATGGCAAGCAACACAGAGTGAGGGTCACACAGTGAGGACCACATGACAAGTGACATGACACACATTGAGGATTTCAGAGTGAGGGTCATGTGGCAAGTGACCCATAGTGAGGGCCAAACAGCAAAAGCCACGTGGCAAGTGGTATTCAGTGAGAACCATGTGACAAGGGTGACATACTGAGAATCACTTAGTGAGGATTTTGTGGCAAGTGACACACAGTGAAGACCACACAATGAGGACAACATGCCAAGTGGCACATGGTGAGAACTGGAGCAAGGACAATGTGGTGAGTAATGCATGTTGAGAAGCACACAGTGATGATCACATCATGATCGCCATGTATCAAGGGCTTAGGCAGACAGTGACACATGGTGAGAACCATATAGTGAAGACCATGTGGTGAGTGAGCAGAAAAGAAATACCATATGGTGAACGACACGGAATGAGGACTGTGCCTAGAGTGATCATGTGGGGAGGACCACATAGTAAAGACCACATGGTGAATGATTTTGCCATGAAGACCACATGGCAGATACTTTGTGGCAAGAAGCCTCAGAGTGAGTGACAATGTAACGATAGTGTGATGCATTATCACGCAATAAGTGACATGCTGAGTACCACACGGTGAGGAGCACAGAGCGAAGACTACGTGGGGAGTGACGCACTGAGGGCCACGTGCTGAGCGACCACAGAGTAAAGCTAATGCAGTAGAAAGTGATCATGTAGCACTTAACCAATGCATTGAGGACCACCTGAGGAATAAGCACTCATTGAACAGGATGTGTGGAATGAGTTCCATAATAAGGTCCCATAAAGACTCAAGCTGAGTTTCTCAGTTTTGATCTTGCTGTGGACACTGGCTCTGGAGCTTTTCCAGACTGGCTGTTTTTCTTCTATGCCTCTCAAGGAGCCCTGAGACTCCCAGGTTTGCAGGTGTGCAGACCCTGGCCCAGGTATCCTGCTACAGTGGCCTGTGCTGAGATATGCCCCCTCCTAGGAAGACCTCCAACAAAGTAGATTGGCAGAATGACAGCATCATTGGACTCAAGTGTCTCAGAGATGAGGATGGTGCAGGAGAGGGTAGGTTTCAGAGCTTCTGTTCATAGGGTCTCTGTGAATCGTACTTGACCTAACAGCACCTAACAACAACAACAACAACAACAACAACAACAACAACAACAGACTTCCCTAGCAACAGGAAAGGCATGTGGTTTTACAAAAGAACCTCACGAAAAGTAGTTTAAGAGAATATGTACAAATTTATTTCATGGCCAGAAGTGCAAACACAACAAAGCAGTCCTTGGGACAGAGGCCACAGTCCCAGGTTCTGTACACAGCTCTAGAAATAAGCCTGTTTTTTAGAACTTAAAGCTGAAGGGGACATGATGAGAACTGTATGAATAATCAAGGAATGCCAACTGGAGGCCCGGTTGCCCGAAGGTGGTGTCTTCTCTGGTCTCTTGGGTTTCAGACATTCTTCCTCTGATAGGTCACTTCACCTGTAGAGGACAAAGACAGGGTGAATTGCTCTTTCTGGAATGACAGTGGTAGCAGTGAACCTGGTGGGTCCAGTAAGACAAGCACCCAAACCAAGAATCCTCAGGATAGATGCTGGCATGATCTCATGTGCTCATAGAGCCACCTGTGAGCCCCACATTCTGCCCAACAGTGAACAGACAGGCACATACTCTATGACTCACAAAACCTCACCTCCCTCATGCACCAAAGGTAATGGAGACTCTTGGGACCCTCAGGGAGCAGTGTCCCCATCTCGGAAAGCTTCTCATGGTGCTGTGCATATTTGGGATTTTTCTTACACTCACTCTCCTGTTGTGCCCACCCTCAGCCCCTCTTCGGGGACCAGGCTGCAGAGACTTTCTTCCACTCACTCCAGCCAGGCTACCTTGAATAAGGTGACCGTCGTGCTGTAGAAAAGACTCAGGAGAAAGAGGACGATGAAGGTGGAGGCCATGGCCCACAGGTTCTCGAAGCCTTCCTCCTCTGCACTCACTTCTCCGCCTATAAGGATGACAGGACACAGGAGACTGTCAGCTTGTGGTCCAGGGTAGTATCAGCAACAAAACAGAATACACATGGGACTGGGAGACTGACTTGGGGTGGCAAGCTCAGTAGACATCCAGATTTTCTAGAATTAAGTGCCAGGAGATGTTACTAATAAGCTGAGACCACTGCAACTATCGCGGGGAAGGGGAGATAGCAGGAGCAGCAGAAATCATGGCACAACGGGTAAGTAATGTAGACAGAGTGTTGGGTAGAGAGAGGGGTGCAAATGGGGGCCTTTATGCTTCTGGGCAATAGTTTTCTCCCCAAGGTTCCTGTTCTACCTCCCCTGGCTGGTTTTTGACAATAGAATCTACTAATCTTTCTGGAATAATTTCCCACCTGGGATTATTTTGCCATCTGATGTGCATTTATTAATTCAGAGCGTGAGCAAATTGAGTGTTCTGGTGACACCCACACCTAAGGAACCAGAGGGTACCAGGCAAGTAGAACTAGGGTCTGAGCCTCTAAGATGTCCTAGGCCTTCCAGGGGGCTATGGTTAGGAAGGCAGAGCTTCCTTCATAATGGTCCAGAACATTGCCCTCAACCACAGGGTGAGTGGGTGGGGGTGGTATCTCCAGGCAGCTGCTTTTCAGGACTCCTCTTGTGTCCTCTGTCCTCATGTCCACACAGGGTATAGCTTTGCTTCATGGTCTCAGTGGGCAGGCCATCTTCACTAGTTACACTTGCCCAGGCCATGAGACAGACAAAAAGACAGCTTAAGGCTCTGAAAAGAGCAGGCATGAATGGCCTGAGCGTGGTGCTGCACAGCCTTGGAGGGCTTTTGCTGATGGTTCTAGAGAGCTCTGGCCTCCATGAGCCACGTGCTGAACATCTTGGGTTGGTCACAAAGCCTGGCACTGGCATCGAGCCATAGTGTCTCCCTGTGCCCTGACTGTCATATGCCTGCTGGGATAGCTGAGGCATTTGCAGGGAGCTGACCCTGCTCTCCCTTGTCCCTCTGCACTTCTCACTGATGGAGGTGGAGGGCACTTTTAGACACCAGGTCTAAAGTCCTGACTGTCTGCTCTGAAGAGGTGAGCACAGACTCTTGGCGTTGTGTACAAGTAGGGCCTGAGGATGGACTGCATTATTGAGACTCTGGGTTGGAAGTGCCAGCTCTGTCCTAGGCCACTCCTAATTCATTTCCAGCACAAGCAAGGGCTTCCCTGAGGAGCAGATTCTGCAGGTGCGCACCATAGGCCTCTGAGTCCTTTGACCTGGCTTGGAGTCTGAGGTCTTAGTCAAGGTCAGGACTCGGCTGGCCCTGCACTCTTTCAAGCTGAGGTAGAAGGACAAGCTAACTGTGGGCAGAGTGCAGGGTGATCCATGTGCATGTGTGTCCATGTGTACCTCTGGATTCTTGTGTATCCATGCACATGTGTCTGTGTGTTTATGTGCCTTGTCCATGTGTCTGTGTATCTGTATATGTGTGATCACATATTCTTGTGTTTGTATATGTGTTAATGTGTCCGTGTGTCCATGTATCTGCGTGTGTGTACATGTACAAATGTTTGTCTTTTGCATGTATATATGTGTCCATATATTTGTGTGTGTCCATGTATGGGTCCGTGAGTGCCTGCCAACATTCTTTTGTTGGTGCACCTGCACGGGTGTTTGCACCTTTGTAGGTGTCCAAGTATATCTCTGTGTTCATGTACGTGTCTTTGTGTCCATGTGTATTCATGTGCTATATGTGCATCTGTGTGTCCAGGTATTTGTCTGCATCCATCTGTGTGTCTGTGTGTTAATGTAGGTCTGTTTGCCCGTGTATGTGTCCATGCACATTTGTATCTCTGTGTATTCCATATGTATCTGTGTGCTGATGTGTGTGTCTGTGTGCATCAGTGTCTATACGCTACCATTTGCATTTATGCATCTGTGTGTGTGTGTCCTTGTGTATTTTTATGGCAATGTGCATCTTCATGTGTGTAACTGCATGCCTCTGTGAGTGCTATGCTCCAAACATCTTTCTGGGAACATGCTAGTGGAACAGGGAGCTGGAACTTATGGGGATAAGCATACAGCATGGAGGTGAGGGTGTCAAAGGGCAGTGGAGGGGTGGAGGCGGGCAGATGGCATGCAGGCCAGAGCTGGGTGGGGGCAGCACAGGCAGGCTAGCAGTGCTCACACGGTACCAGCATCTTTTGAACTGATAGTTTTATTTCTAGTTTTCATAGCATACAACATCTCACTCATGGATATGGTTAGTTTGAACGGATGCATGCGCACACTCACACACACATACAGAGTGGCTGGCCACCAAGCAGGTGGAGCCAAGGTGAAGTGCCCAGTGATCAGTAGCAGGTGTTGGCCGTGTCAGACATCACCAGGGACACGTTGTACAGGGAGGGTTTACCAGTGGACTTGTCCACGGTCCTCTCGGTCACCAGGTGGGGCAGGGCCTCGTGGCCCACGACGCAGGTGAACGAGTCCCCGGCACTCCAGTCCTCCTCTGACACATTCAGGATACTGAAGGCGAAGTAGAAGCCATTGGCTTGGGGCTCAGGCATCGGGGCGCTGGTGACATATCTGTCAGAGGCCACAGTCTGCCCCTTGTGCATCCACTGCACAAACACATCTTTAGGGGAGAAGTCTTTCACCAGGCAGGTGATGGAGGCTGACTCCCGCAGGCTCAGCTGCTCCCGGGTAGGTGGCATCAGGTAGACAGCAGGTGCATGCTTGAGTAAGTCTGTGGGCAGAGAGACAGTGGTGAGCTGGGTAAGGAAGGCAAGATCCTCAGGAGCTGAAGATGTTGCCAAGAGAGAGCCTCACCTTTGGGCCTGGTGATGGTTTGTTTCAGGGGTGAGGGGAGGTCAGCATGGGTGACAGTGCAAGTGAACTTCTCCCCTGACTCCCAGTCCTCCACACAGACAGTGGCCTCGCCCACGGCACTAAAAGTGCCATTGGGTTGGCTCTTGGAGATTTCTTTGCTGGTATCCAGAACCTCGCCATTCTGTCGGGTCCAGGAGATGCCCAGGCTGTCATAGGTGGTCAAATCTGTGACCAGGCAGGTAAGCTTGGCTGATTTAGTGAGGAAGATGTCAGCAAAGGATGGGGATACGGCGAAAATCCGGATGCCTGTCGATGGGTCTGTTTTGGAGACAAAACAAGTTGGGTTGAGTGTTCAGTGGGAGCAAAAGTAGGGGAGATGTGTCTTCCCCAGAATGCAACAACGGATTTTGTGGCAGGGGTCCTGTGGTGGTGGGGATGTAGGGCACCCAAATGGTGAAGGTCTACCCACACCTTTGCTCCCAGGGACTATCTACTGGATGTCCCAGGGTTGTGTGTGAATTGTATCTCTGAGTGTGCTTGTGTCTATATATACACCTGTGGTGTGTACAGGTATGTGTGTGTGGTGTGTATATGTGTGGAATGTGTCTGTGTGTTTTTGTGCATGCTGTATCTCTGTGTGTATGTGCCTGTGGTTTGCATATATCTGTGTCTGGAATGTGTGGATATCTGTGTAAAGTGTATCTCTTGTATCTCTGTGTGTCTGTGTGTATCTATGTGTGTATAGTGTATCACTGCATGTGTGTGTGTGTGTGTGTGTGTGTGTGTGAGTGTGTGTGTTGAGGGTTCCTGCCTTGCTAGGAGGGACAGAGGCTCCCCTCAGGGCCCTAATCCCTCCTTAGAGGCTTGTACACTTACTGTTACCACACACAGAGGACACATTCTTCCTTATTTCCAGTCCTTTGTGTGTCACAAGGCAGGTAAACACATTCTGGCTGAGCCAGTCGCTCTCAGAGACGGTCAGTGTGCTGGTGACCTGGTAGGTCTTTGGCCCAGACTCTTTGACCTCAGGCTCAACATTGCCGGTGGTGAAGCCAGACTGCAGTGGCCTTTCCTCTCGCAGCCAGGACACTGTGATATCCTTGGGGCTGAAGCCGGTGGCCTGGCAGACTAGTTTGGAGGTGCGCTGTCCAGTGCCAGTGTCGGAGAAGGAGTCCCGGGGTGGGATGTACACGCTGACATTAGGGGACAGCTCCAAGGGTACTGTGGTGAAAGATATGAGTCAGAGGACAGTTCAGCTCACCCTAGTAATTGCAGCTCAATCTGCTCATTGCAGCCCACCACAGCCCAGTGCCACCCACTTCACTCCAGTTCGGCTCAGCTCAGTCTGGCTCAGCCCATCTCAGTCAGTATCAGCCCAGTTTAGACCAGGTTACTCTATATCAGCCCAGCTCAGCCCATATCAGCTCAGCTCTGTCCAGATCAGTTCAACTCTACTTGCCCAGTTCCGCCCTGCTTAGTGTAGCTGAACCCATCCCATATCAGCCAGGTAAGGCAGCCTGGCCTCTGCCCCTGAGGCCAGTCCCACCCAAGAAGGGTGGCAGCCTGCTTGCTCTTACCTCCGAACTTCACGTTTAGTTTCTGGTTGTTGCTGCCGTGCTTAACTTTGCACACCAGATAGTCATCACTGCCCTGTATGAGGTCCACGGAGGGGAGGAGCACCTGTGAGCTGGCCACGAACTTGCCATTCCACAGGAAAGAAGGGAAGGTCTTGAATTTCTGGGTGTCGATGGCACTGTTGTTCTTATAATCCCAGGAGAACTGGATGTTGTCTGGCAGGAAGTCACGTGCCAGGCAGCCCAGGGTCATCTCACTCTGGTCGAGCAGGGAATTCCCACAGGATAAGAGAGGGAAGAGAGTTGGGGGAGATGGGGTTGCTGTGGATCAGATGAGAAGACAAGAGATAAGAAGGGTGAGGAGCTGATCTTTTCATCTAAGTGGTCAGTAGGTCAGAGAAGCTAGACAGGTTTCCTCAGGGCCTTGTCAACCCACTCCGCCATCCCCCAAGGCCAACGTGGTGGCCCATGTCCTTGTCCAGTCTCAGGGAGCATCTCCCTATGTTGCTGCAGAACTTGTGGGAAGGGGCGAGAGGCTGTGCTTCCTATTGGGGCAGGCAGCCCTGGAATCAGCCATCCCCACTGTTGATCCTCATTTGTTGAGTCATCCTGGACCCAGCCTCTTAGCCTGCTCTCTGGGACATCTAATAACAGATCTGGGTGCCCGGACCTGACCACAGGCAGCTCAGTCAGCACAGAGCAGACCTCCTGCTCCATCAGTCTAAGACCCCAGGCACAGGTATCTTGGCACAATGTGCACAGAGCTCAGGTGAGGACATGTACAAGGGCTGTGGACTAGGACCAATGCCACACAGCCTGCTAGCTGACTGAACCTCCCCAGGTCACCCAGGGTCATGCAGCACAGTATCCTCCAGACAGTCCAGCATGGCCTGCTCCACTCACACTGGACCCACTAGACTCAATTCAGTCTATTTCAGTGGAAGCCCAAAATGCTTCCCTGACTCAGCCCAGACTAGCTCAGTCAGCTCTGGTCATTCCAGGACAGCTTGGGTGGACTCAGCTCAAATCACCCAAGTTATCTCAGTTAAATCTGCTCAACACAACCCAGTTCAGCCCAGCTCAGGCCTGTGCAGTTCAGCCTAATTCAATTTAGCTCAGATTATTCCCAGTAAACTGAACCCCACTTGGTTAAGTTCAGTTCAGTGTAGCCCATTTCAGCCCAGCTCAGCTAGTCTAGCTTAGCCCAGCCCAGCTCAGGCCGATCTAGTTCAGCCTAGTTCAGCTTATCTCGGATCACTCCAGCTAAATGCAGCTCTGTTGATTAAATTCCGTTCTGTTCAGCTCAGTTCAATGCAGCTAACCTAAGTCAAGTTCAACCAACCTTAGTCGAGCTTGGTTTAACCCGCTCAACCCAGCCTAGCCCAATGCAGCACAGTATATCTCAGCCTAGTCCAGGTCAGGCCAGTGTGGATTGTTCACTTCGTCCAGGCAGCTCACTTCAGCCCAAACCAGATGAGCCCCATTCTGTTTAGCATAGTTCCACACAGCTGAAGAATTCCAGCTTGCTTCCGTCCAATCCAGCTCAGCTCAGCCCGGTCCACGTAGCCTAGTCCAGCTAGCCTGGCTTACTTAATGCCAGCTCAGCCCAGCTAGCCTGGATTGTTTCATCCCAAACTACCCAGCTCACCCTGATAACCCAGCCTAGCTCGGCTCAGCTCAACCCAACCTGGTATAGCCAAGCTAGTCCTGCTTGCTTCACTTTAGCTCAGCTCAGTCTATTTTTTATCTAGCCAGCGTTGGTCTAACTTAAGGCAGCCCAGCTCAACCCACACCTGCCCAGCTCATTTCAGGCTTGCTAGCCCACCTCAGCTAGCCCACTTTAGCCCAATCCAGCTCAGCTTGGTTCAGCTCAGTTCGGTTCAGCTACCATAATTTAGCCCAAGCTTAGCCCAATTGAGTTCAGTCCAATCCAAGCCAATTCGGTTAACCAAGTTCAGCTCAGCCCAACTAGCTCAGCTAGGTCAATTAAACTCAGTCTAGCTAGCTCAGCTCATTTTAGTCCAGCTCAGCTCAGTTCAACGCTTTCCAGCTAGCCAGGTCCAGCCTAGCTCGGTTCAGTCCACTTCAACTCAGCCCAGCCAGCTGAGCTCACTTTACCCCAGCCCAGCCCAGCTCAGGCCAGCCTAGGCTAGTTCAGATAGTCTAGTTCAACCTAGCTCAGCTCAGCCCAGCTAGCCCAGCTCACTTCAACCCAACACAGCTTAGCCCAACTCAGCTTAGCTCAGTCCAGCTCGGTTCAGTTAGCTAGGCCAGTTCAAACCAGTTCTGATAGCCCAGCTTAGGTGGCCTGGCTCAGCTCAGCTAGTAAGCCCAGCTCAGCCCAGAGGCCAACTTTGCACAGCCCGGCTAGCCCAGCTTGCCCAGCTCAGCTTTATGCAGCCCAGCTCTGCTCTGCTCAGCTCAGCTAGCCAAGCTCAGTCCAGTAGCCCTGCTTGCTTCACACCAACCCAGCTCGGTCTAATCCAGCTCAGCTCAGCCTAACCTGGGTCAGTTCATCTCAGTAAGCCCTGTCAAGCTCAGCCTTGTCCAGCTCCGCTAGCTTAGTTCAGCCTTATCCAGTTCAGCTCAGCTAGTCAAGCTCAACTTAGAGACCAGCTCAACCCTATTGAGACCAACTCTACTCAGTACAGCTGGCCCAGCTCAGCCCTGCCCAGCCTACTTCACCTCACCTCAGCCCCAACAAGCCCAGTTATGCTCAGCTCAGCTAGCCCAGCTCAGTTCTGTCTAGCCTAACCCAGCTCTGCTTAGGTTAGCTACCTCAACCGGCTTTCTTCAGCTCAACTAGTCCAACTGTGCTCAGGTCACTAGCTCAACTCAGCCCTTTCCAGAGCAGCACAGCTCTGTCCAGCCCAGCTCAGCTCAGCTCGGCTAGCTCAGATCAGCTAGTCCAGCTCAGATCCTCCCAACCCAGCTCACTTCTGTCCAGCCTATCCCAGTCATGTCCAGCCCAGCTCAGATCCTCCCAGCCCAGCTCAGCTTGCCCAGCTCAGCTCTGCCCAGCTCAGCTAGCCCAGCTCAGTCATGTCCAGCTCAGCTCAGTCCTGTCTAGCCCAGCTCAGCTAGCCCAGCCCAGATTCTCCCAGCCCAGCTAAGCTAGCCCAGCTCGGCTCGCCCAGCTCAGCTCTGCCCAGCCCATCTCTGCCCAGCTCAGCTCTGCTCAGCTCAGCTCTGCCCAGCTCAGTCCTGTCTAGCTCAGTCCTGTCCAGCTCAGTCCTGTCCA